CAGTAGAATGTAATAAATGTACATAAAATTATAGTATTTTATGTACAATTCTGATAAAATTTCATAAGAAAGGTACCTATAAATTAATTAGATACCTTTCTTAAGAAATATGAAATTTAATGTCACTCTTAACACTTTTATTTTAATTTCTTTACAATATATTTCCCATAAAGCATCATAAACGTAAAGGTGAAAGCTAAGTACAAAAAAAAAAAAAAATTAGACCGCTGAAAGTTTTTTTTTAAAAATAACGGGGTAAATAATTTGTTCACGTAAATGTAAATTATTTCACTTTTCTCCTTCCAGAAACAAATTAGCCTCATGGAATTGTAAATATATCATTCATCACATGTCAAGAGACGCGAAAGTTTATGACCTGCTTTGTTTTATTTTCAAATTACATCTTTTTTTTTGGCACAAAAAGCTAAGTTAAGTTTGGTTCAAAATATTTTAAATAAACATTATAATTTCTGATTTTCTTAAAATAAGTTTTGAAAAAAATGATAATTGATATTTAAAAAATTTCAAAGTCAGATTTCCAGTTTTTTTTAAATTGAAAAAAATGGTCAATTTTGCTGACTCAAAAAAAAAACTAGATTTTTAACGAAAATTTCGGACGTGCTAGGAACGATTAAAAATGGAAAAAAATACCCCAAAAATACTTGGACCTTTCCTCTTAATGAATAACAAACATTTAGACGATAAAATTTTGTTTTCGTCAAGTTTACGCGTCTTTTTCATCATGCTATGCTCTTTTTTAGCGATCTCGTGGAGGTACCTATATTAGGACAATTAAATTTGTCTGTTGTAGGGAAACATGAATAGATAAAAGTTAAATATTTGGCTTTTTACTTGAACATTTAAAAAACTTACTTTTTTTTTTTTTCTCATTTCAGAAAATCCCAAACTGTATCAGACAGCTGAAACAAATACATCAAGCTTACTACAAAAATTCCGAAATTATGAAATTTGAAAATTGTTTCCTTTTGAAATATTTACAATTTCATGTAGAAATTTAAACTGAAATAAGGTTTTTGGTTTAGCTTAGATTATATTACAAAAATAAAATCAATTTATAAAATATGAGGTGTAAATATTAGTTCTCTAGTTAATGGAATGTTATATATTACACACACACTTTAGATGCTGTTAACATTTTTGAATGTAGAAGCTTTCTTAGTAAAGTACAAGAATTTTCCATTTTCATTGGCTTACTGGAAAAGGAAAATTAGAAAAAACAGCAACCCTAGGCAAAATAAATTTTCCCAAGTTTTTCAAGTTTATATTTTGCAAATTGAATAATTCAGTTTATAATTTGGGGTCTAGAAATTTACTTTAAAAAAAAAAAAAAAAAAAAATAATTATAGTTCCTTAAGAAAAAGATTCACCATGTTTCTATTTAAAGTATTTTTGTGAATATTTTCATTATTCCAAGCATTTTGGGACATAAATACTTAATCATTAAAATATACAAATTTTTTTTTTTTAATATGGTCAACAGGTGAAATATCTATACCTCATAAGCTCATCAAGGAAATAAAGACAAGTTTATCTTATTTTTAACTACTGCTAATTAAAAACGAAAAGATCTTACAATTTTAGAAGCATGGAATTTTTTTTTTAACATTGTAATATCCAAACTCTAAAATCCTGGGTTTTTTTTTTTAAATATTTTGTTTGAATCTTTGGATTTACCAGTTGAATATGTAAATGATAAAACTTAAGTTGTCATTTCTTTTCTTTTTCTTTTAGTGAAATGTTTGTAAAGGAAAAAAAAAAAAAAACTAAATATGTGGGAGGAGAAGAATCTTGACAAAACATCAGTTAATGAAATTTCTTTAAACAACTTAATTATTAGTTATTTTTATACAACAAAATGGCATTCTTTCATTCCACTCAAATAGGTTCCATTTGAGTTTTGAATACATTCATGAACCAAGTTTAGTGACTTTGAGAAAGAAAAAAGTCTCAAATCCTTCACGTTCCAAATAATCACATGAACTTCCAGACATAGCACAATCTTTGTTGAGCTTTGGATCTATATCAAATCAAGATCTTTGACTAATTATGTCTTCCTCACAATGGAAAACCAGTAGTCCCTACCCCATCTTTCAACAAAATTATCAAATTTTGTCAGTCACACTTACAAGACTTGAAATAGTTCTAATTGATACAGTGAAGCATGTTGCAAGTTAAGTTTTGGAATTCATTTTCCACAACCCAGCTTTCAAATTGAGATTTTGTTGATCAGTCTATCTCAGTAAAGGGGTTTGTTTATGTTTCTTAATTTCAAGTGGAAATTTCAGTTTAAAATACCAACACAAATGTGAAATTAGTATGTTTTGCATTAGTCTGCTCTAGTTTCATTATGACCCTGTTTAAATTCCCACAAGGATTAAAAGCAAAGATGTTGAAAAATTTTACTATTTTGAAATAGTAAATTGGCAAACCTTAAAGATTAACAATTAGTTCATGATAAATAATCTAATGTTAAAGCAAAAATAGGGAAAGAAAGAGATTTGAATATGTCCAAATATGTTAAATTAAAGCATAAATTAATATGTAATTATTAAATTTAACTTGTTTGCATCAAACTGCTTTTAATTTTGAAAATAAACATTTTTTGAAATAGTCAGATAGTTGGTTCTGGGTTGTTTATAACAAATATGACAATATTTTCTTATTTTTAAAACCTTCTTTAAAATAGTTATTTTTATTTATTAAAACGCCAAATACATACCTAAAAATATACTTAGTCTGTTTATTACTTCCCACTCACAAATGTGGTTAGAAAGAAATAATGCAATCTAAACATGATTGATGATAAAAAAAAAATGCCAATATTATGTAAAAATAATATAATTCAAAAAAGACTTGTACTATTAAGTGCATCTTTGAAGAGTTGTGAAAATTTAATTTTGAGAAGGAATAATTTAAGGAAAAACAGTTCCAATTTTATCAGATATAAATTTAAGGGGCTTGGGAAAAATAATCAAACAGAAAACAATACTCAAGAGAAAATAAACAAAGTAAAAACAAAGGTTTTTTCCTTTTCTTTTTTATTATATTTTTGATGTTAATTTGCTATTTTGCAATTTCAACATAAAGAATTGCACAGTCTCAAAAGTGCTAAATTGGAGGCAGCTAGCTACAACAAATTTCAGAGGAGTCACTAGATCTGCTTATAGCCAAATAAACTGGATGGAAAAAGACTGTAGTCCAAAAAAAAAAATTTTTTTCTTTTTCTTTTTTAAATTAACTCCACTGATTAATCACTAAATGCAGCGCGAAATTGAAAGATGTAGCCCCTTTCCCCATATCCTCTTTTTCATGGCTATTGTCCAGTTTAAATAAGACATTTCCCCAAGAACTGATTGAAATATAGTTGAACTAGCAACAGGAGCTGAATCATTGCTACACAAGGAAAATAATGAAGAACTTGAAGGTCCTTGACAAGTGATATTAAAAAAATTGTTGTTAGTGCTACATGACAAAGACACCAAATAATAAATCAAATTATCAACCTCATGAAAACAATTAGCAAAAAAGATTTTATTTCAATCAACAGGAGAAAGTATTTTAGCTAGAAACAAAAACTGGTTGGCAGATATTTTCTAAATTACATTTATAGTAGAGAATCTTATCACTTCAACAATTATCTATTTTAAATATATCTAAAAGAATTAGGAAAACCTCTTCTCTCTCAAGCTATTGAAATCTTTAACAAATTAGAGATATGACAACAAAAGATTGAAATGTAGCAATTTGTTTTTGAAGATTCCTGACTATAGATAAACTAAAAGCAGGATTGTGCTGCATTAGGGATAGCAGATGGGGAACTTCAACTCATGGAGTCAATAGGAATTAAGTGATTGAAAGAAAAATTCCACTTTTAATATCAAATGAAAGTGGAAATCATAGAAAGACAAAACAGATGGTGCATGCCATATCTAGTTATGTCATTTATTTTTTGTATAATATGAAATGGGAGTGTGTGTGTCAGCTGATATCTGCAATAAATGATTCCAGACAAAATGTACTGCCAGCAGTATGTCAAAAATTTTAAGTTGTGAAAATTGTGCACAAGCACAAAAAAAAAAAAAAAATTGATAACCCAACATTAAAAGTTCATTTTTAAAATAAATAAGAATAAAAAAAAAATCCAGCAAGAAATTTGAAATGTTGCCAAGAGTAAAGGGGAGATTAGTACAAGACAAAATATTCACAATTCAATTGTGCTTAATAAAAATATTCCTATCATTTAAGAAAGAAAGTATTTCCATAGCCAACCAGAGAGAGAGAAGAAAAATGTAATAAAAAAAAAAAGAGAGAGAGAGAAAGGTTGCCTTTGTCATATAGTACAGTAATAGCTTATTCTCATCAGCATAGTGCAATTTAGGAAAGTTTTTTCTCTGCCCCCTTTTGCCAGGCTAATTTTGAGTGACAGGTTGGACATCTCAGGCACACTACAAACTGAGAAATGAACACAAGAATTGGAGATAAAAATATCCCAACCACAGGGATGCTAACTAAAAATATTTTGTGATGTTCTTTAAGAAAACATTTAACAGAAATATTTCTAGTTATGTTCTCCCTTCTCTTAATGGAAGTCTACCTGCCAGGAGAAAGAGAGGGAATGGGGTAAATATGCATGACTCCCAGCTGCTTGCTTATTACTTAAAAGAAGCAGTAGCAGCAGTGGTAATAGCAGCTATTGTTCCAGGCTGCTTTTTTCCCCCCATAGCAATGTCAGCTTCCTACTCAACACCATCCATTCAATCTGTGGACTCATTTTGGACCAGGAAACTGCATATTGCAGTTGCAGCACAACCATTTTCACTTAAAAGTGTCACAGCCATGAGCCATTGTTTCTGACAAAGTCTCAAGTGGGCTGTGGTTAGCGTAGTAGTGATAGGTGTGGTTGTCAGATTAGAAGTGGTAGTAGTAGTATCAATAATAGTAGCAGCACACCATATTGCTACTGCCCACAAGAACTCAAGTCACCTCTTAGCCAAGCGAAGGACTATGCCTGATTTTGAACCAATTACTTTCCATTCTGGATCATTGGGATCTTCTTCTGCATTTGATGCAGAAGAACTGCTTGGCAGTGGAGAACATGGATGACTACTTCCTGGTGTTCTTGATTCTGGTTGAGAACTTTCAGGAACATTTTCACTATTTTTTTTGGTTTCACAGCAATGTTCAATTTGCATTGTTTCATATTCTAATTCACTTAATGGAAAAGTTCGAGGAATCCAGGGTTCAACAGTTGAATGTTCATGCATGTCAAAAAGGTCGCTGTCATCCTCATAGCACGAACGTTCATGTTTCGATAAAGAACTACAACGCCTTCTGCCCAATTGTTCATCACAGAACTTTTGGAGATGAGTGGTTGGGTGAGAGGTGGTTGGTGTCAAAGGGCGAGTTTGAATGGAAGTATCTGTGGGATAAGGGTGAGGACTAAAGGATTGTGTTGATGAATAATGAGCAGAGAGTGCTGCTGTTGCATTTTGAGAGATTTTGCTCAGCAAAGGGCTTTGCGACCGGTGAACGATATTTGATACTGTCTGTGATAACAAATGAGGTGAAACTCCTTCAAGTCCATCAGATTTCAAATAAGACTGCTCCTGCTGTTTATAACCAGCTGCAGTGAGAGGATTGTCACTTTCTTCCATTTCTGTCTGTCTTTGATTATAAGAGAAGCTTCTACTTTGTTTCATCCTGTCTGTTTCATCTAATGTAAGTAAAGATTGGTTTTCTGTTAACTCTGAAACTGAATGAAGTTTATCATTAGGGGAGGGATGATTCAGTGAAGTGGAACGGTCTTGTAATGGTAACAAAGTTGGTAGTGGAGAAGGGGATTGGGAAGAAAGTGTTGAAACTAAAGCATCAGTACATGGTCCATGGCGTGAAGATGATGAGGTAGGAGGGTGAACTGGTGAGCCAATCATCAAATTGCTATCAAGAACACCCACAGATTCAGGAGAGACTGGCTCTGTATCATCAGAGCGAACTGAACGATGACCACGCCTTCCATGTTGGAAAAAAGAAACAAATCTCTTTTTCTCTTGAGTTTCACATTTTGCATGACGCTGGATATAAAGTTCATCAGACAGATCTTCAATCTCAAGCTGAAAGAGAGAAAAAAAAAATATTAAAAAGAGAAAACAATTTTCAAAATAATGAATAGAGTATCAAATCTAAATAACAAAATGAATAAATTTCTTACCTCTTCATCATCATCTTCATCATCATCATCATCTTCTTCCTCATTTTGACATGTAGAAATACCATTTGTTTGGCTTGCAGTTAGTTGTTTTCTATTACCAACTGAAGAATTTGGTGAAGATGTAAAACTATCTTCACCTTCTACTTTATATTCAGAAACAGGTTCTTGATCAATCTTCCTCCATCTATATTAAAAAATATATAGAAAATTAAATTTTAAAATCTGATTTTGAAAAGATAATACAATTGATAAATTTATTTTCCTCTTTTCATGTTACAAAAAGGGAAACCAACCAAACATGCAATAAAAGCAAAAATTAAATTTAAATATCCTAAAGTAATAAATATTTAACAAACTACTTCCCTTTAATAGTAAAGTCAAATTATTTAAGTATAGAAAAATACTGAACAGAATAAACTAAGATTGCATAATGCCATAAAGATATGTAAATTTTATAAACCCTCATTTAATATAAAAAAAATAAATAAAATATCAATTTTTAAAAGTTATTACATTGGTATTCACACATAATCGTATATGTAAAAATTCAGATATAAATATCTGTGGCAATATGAATAAATACAGAAGGAAAACTTTTCTTTACAAACAGGTTTCGTCGTCTGATGGATTTTATCAATGTAAGGATTTTATTTTACAGCATGTATTTATAAACAGAAATAAAAAACAATATCAGGTTTTCAACATTTTTAAATTTAAGAATGCTCAAAAATATTTTTAAGACTAATTGTAAAGGTAAACTAATAAATGAAATGGATAAAAACACTTTAAATTTATAGTCAGATAATTTAGTATCATAAAAACATGAAAATTTCAAAAAATTAAAAGAAAAAAAAAAAAAAAAGTTCATTTACTGATGAAGATCAAGAGAAAATATACAAGAGGTAAAATTGGTAGAATATATTTTCCATAAAAGAATTCTATTTTTACTTCATTAATGTTAAGAATTTATATTTTAAGTTTTACTTCCAACATTTATCTACATATTATTGTCAATCCATTATTTTGAAAACCATTGTTTTTTTTTTTGGTTTTTTTTTCCAAATAATAAAAAATTCCCAAAGACAAAGATACTTTTTTAAAAATTGACTGAAAGATTTAATTTCAAATTAATTTGCTTAGAGATAAGCAGTTTTGCTGGAGTTAAGAGCTTACTAATAAAAAAAAAAAAAAATAAAATAAAAAATAAAATTAATACCATATTAAGATGAGATGCTTGTTGTCAAAAGTCACACTTTCCAATATTAATTTACTGATTTTACTGTTTGAAATGTAAAATGGTTAAAAATCTATTTAAAAAAAATACAAACTAACAACATTCTTTTTTAAAATACTATTAAGAAAAATCTACTCAAAAGGCTAGTCTTGGATTACTTCAAAAATCCAGAAAATAAAAATTATATCTACTTCGATATACAATTATAATTAGAGTAATTAAAATCCTTGATAAGCTGATAATCCAAGTGGTGTCTTACATATTAAAATAACAAAAATAAATATGAATTCAAAAAATTTACAGAGATAAAGGATTACAATTTTTCTTCATATATAAAATAATTTACTAAAGAATTCTCCTCTCACTGATTTAGAAAATCATTTAATAAAAGATAAATATTGCTTACTTTGGGGTAACTATTTCTTTATATTGCAACTTCTCTACACGAGTTGATGCTGCCATGCTGTATGGAATGACAATATTGTTAATATCAAAGGCACTCTCTCCACGTCTTTTCCTTAATGTAGCTTCTTTCATCTCTTTGAATGTTGCAGAGGGACAATTAATGGCTGAAGATCCATCTTTTAGACAAGCCTGTTCTGATGATCTAAAACGGCGTTTCCCACTTAGCCTGCTACCTCCTAAAGAAATGGACCTTGATGGAAACTTTTTTAGAACTGAAAAGAAAAAAGAAAAAACTTAGAGAATTAATAAATGAAAAAGCCCTGTAAAAATTTATTTTTGTAAAGTTCCAAGAGTAGAAATAAGTATATATTAACGCAAAAAAAAAAAAAAGATCTTTTCCAAAAGAATCTAGAACTTTCCATTGATGTAACTTCAAAGTGATTTTAGTTGGTAGTTTTCATTGCATCAAAATTGTTCTTACATAGTCTAAAAACAATTTGGTAAATAAAAAAAGGCTTCTAACAAACCAACTATGAAACAGACTACTTTGGTGAAAAGTAAAAAAAAAAAAAAAAAAAAAAAAAAAGAGAAATGATTTCACCCTTGATTTTTTTTTAAAAAATGTGCACACACCTGTCAATAAAATTGACAAGATGAGAGCTAAAAGTATTATAAGGAAGATGGTGCTATTCCTAGTGCTAAATGTATTAGGCAACTATATCTATCAAAATTGTTTGATAGTCATTTTGCTGCCTTAAAAATGAAGCTTGTTTCATCTGCTATGATACTTCATAGCAGATGAAACTGACCACAGCATTTTGAATGTGATTGCAAGTATTCAAGTGGACCCATTTCTTATCAATGCTGTCACCATGAAAGAATGCAATCTTCAAAGTGCAAGTCAGGCTTGTATTCAAGCTGTTACTCATGTTGACACTGCATTTGTAACTGATTCAGCAGTATATTGTAAAAAAAAGTGCATAGGGATGTTTTATCCTTAATATATTTATAAACAATAATCAATGTCTTGTGTTTAGCATGCACTTTACATCTTGTTGGTGAGGTATCTCACACTGGCCACAATTTGATAATGTTACTCAGCTAAATACTTTCATTAAATCATTTTTTTTTTTTTTTTTTTTTTTTTAAACTGGAGAAAAAAGTGAAAAAACCTAGTTTGGTAAATTTTCCAAATTTTTGAATTAGTAAAGAATAGTAAACTGCACCATGCATCATACCATAATTTACATCTCAATCTGCATTTCATCAATAAGAACTTAATAAAAGCCTTGACAAGCTTAGAGGAGAACAAATCATCACTTGCATGCATTGTGTACAACAGGATTCCCACAGATCTGTGTAAAAAAAAAAAAAAAAAAATTCCAGGACTATGTTAAGTTTTAAAGACTGAAACTGATGCATGCGTGCACACACGCAAAGTGAATGGTCTTCAATTTCAAAAACACAAACTTTGTGATTTATCTTTTAATATGTTCAAAGAAAAGCTACAGCTGGTTTCAATAATTCATGTTACATGGATCTGTTGAAAGCAGTGAAGAAGTCAAAGTGTTGAAGGCTAAAACACAACTGAATACAGAGATTTTGTGTAGCATTCTATGCAGTTTCGAGTTTCACTACACTTGAAATTTTTTTTAATCTAATTCTTAGTGCTACTCATTTCAGCTATCAAGACTATTCATGGTTTGTGAATGTCACTAAAATTCTTGATTGCTGCACATTTCCTGTGAAGTATAACAGTTTTAATGAACAGAACTACAAATACAAATTTTCACAAAAAGACTAAACATTTTAGCTACTCCTAGTATTCATGGCTTTCATTGCACATGACAAAACACAATGTTAATATTTTTTTCAGTTCATCTAATTTAGCATTAAGTTCCTCTTCCCATTTTGATATTTTTATGGACTTGTTCTTTGCAGATCTTCACATGATATTGGAATTTGTGACAAGTGTGAAGTTTTGAGACTGCACAGCTGTCAGCTGACTTGAGCAAATCTTGTGTGTAACTTTAAAGCTCATGTTTTTTGGTCTTCAGTTCTTCAATTTCCATAAGCATGTAAATCAGTTTTTGTCCAGCTGCTTCTTCCTGCCATTTTGTTCTCAGTCTCAAGGTATTGGTGGTTCTATGCTCTTCCGGCATTGAAAGCACTGCAGAAAAGAGCCTTAGTCATGGGAACATTCCCAGCACCTCCAACTGTGGCCAAATAGTCCGTGATAATGTGCACTGCAACCAGAGTCTGCTGTTTCATACTGTCAGTGGAAAATTCCTTATTGACTGAGAAACTCCCTCTACTGTGGCCTGTCCATGAGTACCAGAAATCTTCAAATAACATTTCAATTTTTTGTTTTTTATATTCTTTGTTGCTAGACACAAATTAAAGTGCCCAGACAGTCTTCATGCCTGCTGAAATTCTTGAAAGCAATATTTCTAGCAGCTTCCTCCTCCTCAAACTCTTTGTACTGACTGATGAAGCCATCACAATCAGACTTGCTGACTTGTTTTCTATTCATCATGAAGGAAAAGACATCTTTTTAGACTGTCTTCTGTGGCAGATATTTTTCACAAAGGGATCCAGGCTTCAACCATGCAAGTGACCTTAGAAGAGGGTATTTAAGGGGAGATTTTGCCAAAAGTTTCTCAATGATGAAGATTATCTTTGTTGTAATTCTGTATGCAAACAGATCTTTTGTTGACACATTTCCTTTTTTTAGATGAATTTTGCTTAGCCCATTCTGCCAGAAATCCACATTCAATCTTTCCTGCAACTTTATGCACATCCGGATTGGACAAAATTCTTACAAATTCATTCAGTTAGGAAAATGTAATTATCTTTTTAGTGTGCTCTTCCTTTATAAATATTAACAGTTTCATGATCATGTTAAAAAGATCATCTGCAAGGAAAGGAAGCAAGAGTTTGTTGCTCTGATATTTTATCAGAAACAATTCAATGTATTTTGAAACGGACAAAAAACTGCAGTTTTACTGGAAATGTCATTCACGTTTGACAGCACTGCATAGAATTTAGTCTAGAGACATTTTTTGTTTCTTTAAGTTCACAAATTTGATGACATCTATCCAAATATCTAAGAGTCATTCACATGTTTGTACTTTCTCCAGCCATCTATGGCAGAAATACAAAAGTAAAGGGACAGGGTTGACAGACTGAAATTTTAATATAGAGGTAATCCAAATAGGTTTTATATATTTCATCAACACACACACTTACAAAAGTTAGGTCATTACTAACTTAAAAAAAAAAAATTTTCAAAGACATTTTCTATTCTATTATCCTTACTGTCTACATTTCTTTCAGTCAAATTTAATTCTCAAACTTGTTACTTTTGGCAACAATTTAGACAAACATAGGTTACACATAGATACACTGACACTGGACGTGTAAAATATCTATTTTTTCAGCATGAACTCACCCATCAGCTGACTAGAGATCAAAAGGACTTTTTACTTTTGAAATTGATATATGAATAAAATTTCTTCAATTGTTTAAAAAGAAAAAAAAATGACACTCATATATTTCAAGATTCTACTAAAATGTATTTATTAATATAAAATCTTTTTTCCTTTCAACTACAAATTCAGTGAGTGTGAATTAATTTATCTCTGACGGAGAGAGATTAGTTGTCTTTGACACCTTTTATCTTTATCTTTGCTTTTCCTCTTTTCTTGTTGAATGAGAGTAGCAACTAGAAGACATGCCTTCATATTTTTCTCCCTTTCATCACAGAGAAAATACAGAAGTGACTATGAGGTCACAAACTCTTTCTCATCAAGGAAACAAACCACCATTCCAAAAATAATTGCCAAGAAGAAAAAAAATTCTCTTGAAGGACATTTCATTTTTAGATAGGGTTTTTTTTTTTGGGGGGGTAGAGAAAAAAGATTTATGGCATCTGGCATTTTGATTTCCATGAATTGAGAAAAAGGATGTGTGAGCAGCCCAATTTAGAAAATTCTGGGATTTTTCAAGCTCCTATCAATTTTTAAGGACTTTTCAATGTTTCCAAGACTGATATGACCCTGGTACACTCTAATGGAAAAATTAAAGCATTACCTTGATAGTGATAAGTCAAAAACAACATTTGATCTAGAAATAGAGTCTTCTGTCTGAACTGGAAAGCATCGAGGAATAAGGTTACATCAAATTTGCAGGATGCATTCAGTATAGCACTGTCAAAATGAACAAATGCTTGCATATTTATCCAGTGTATGAGTTTTACAAATCAATTTGTTTGTTCAATCCTAGGCAGCTACCATGTATTAGCCATGACATTGGCAGTTTTGCTACCATCAAAGATTTGCAAGATCCATCCACTGAACTATTTGAAGAATTTCAAATTTATATAAACTGCAAAGATGACCTACCAAATCCCTTCAGCATTTTGGAGTGCAAATAAAAGCAGATTTCCCATTCTGTTACAGATTACCACTAAAGTTATGTGAATGCTTGTTATTAGTGTATGTAGTGAATGGTCATTTTCTCAATATAAGCATTTGCTCAGTGACAGATACAAAGGCCTAACTCAGGAAAATACCCAACCGCTTATAATGCTGTACTTCAATTGAGATTTGGAGAAAAGATTTTATACCGTGCAGGTGTCACCATTTTATTTTTTTCATACAGTAAATCAATAATTTTAATTTATATCACTACATTTACAGGCTTATATGTTAGAGCAGTTAATACTTTCTCTTAAAAATATTTTAACTTAATACATATCTTATAATGTTTATTTCAATTTTGTTGCTCATTTGGACATTTTATATATAACTGCTGTTGATTTTTTTTTTTTTTAAATGTGATTTAATTTTTAGATATAAATTATCAATAATTTAAAGTTATAAATAATACACAAATTTAGGATACTATTGGTCAATTTTGGCTAATTTTAACTAGAGGTACCCTCTACCTATTATAACTGAATCAGTTATGATAATGAACATAAATTTGATCAAAGTTCTTTCTTTGGGAATGACTGCTTTCCCAATATACACACAACACTACCATATAATTCTGCAATACAACATATCTTTTGATGTATACAATTTTTTTTCCCCATACCTTTAGTTATTCTATCCAAATTATTTTTTGTGACTTTCTTCATTTTCTATCATCTACATAAAGGAAGTAAATTTAAAACAAAAAATAAAATTTTGGTGTGAAAATTGGGTCTATTGGGCCCATGGTTAAAATTTTTAATTAAAAAAACAAAAAAGCAAAAAAAAAAAAAAAAAAATCAGCCATAGGTAACATTATGCAAAGCCTTTTTTATTAGAAGGAATTCGGATGACAACAAAGATGACAGAAATGATCCTTCAAACCATTCAATGATGAATAGAAAGTATTATTCGAAGGATAAGTCTAAATAAAATTTGGTCTTCTAAACAAATTGAAAGGGCAAAAGGAAGAACTCTATCCTCCAATGTTTTACTTCAAAAGATTGGACCTTCACATTTTACAAAATCTTGTGATTCAGCTCTTGCAGGTATTGATACAACTACAAACTCTAGTGAGCAAGAGAGAGAGAGAGAGAGAAGATGCTCCTTGATAAATGGATAGAAAAATGCAAACTGTCATTTGCCAAAAACATGTCTGTCAAAGCCATTTGAAAATATTGTGTAAAATGCAGCAATGATAAAAAGCAAATATAAAAGTAATTATAGAAAACTTGAAAACTAAAAAAAAATGAAACCATGTAAAACGTTTTTCTTTAATTTCTGTTGCTTTATCACAATTGTTTTAAAACTTTCAATGATCATTAAGTAAAAATTAATAATAGTTAAGTAAATAAGGTTTTCATCAGGTACATTTGATTAATCAATTATTAACTGCTGTCTTTTCTACTTAAATTAATACCTATTTTGTAAGGATATTTATTGTTTTGTGCTGAGTTAACCTCAAATCTTGAAACATTTTTTCTCATCAGTAATGTACAATATTTTTTTACCTTAAAGTATTTTTCAGCTAATGTAGATGGCATGTGAAACGTAAAGTTTTGAAAGTGATCAAAGCATGATGGAGGAAACAATTTTAATGAGGTTATTCAAGTTAAAAGACCAGTTTACAAATTTTTAATAGATTTTTTAAAATTTGTATTTTTATAGAATTTATAAAAGGAAGATGACATTCACTTCAAATTTTGCAATTGTATTTACTGAATAATTCAGAAGTGACTATAAATGCATTTTAATGAGCATAAATGGCATAGAAATGTTAAAAATTAATTTTAACATTGATAAAGATTTTACATAAAAATTGTGCTAACAAATTTTTTTTTTTTTTTAAACAGTACATATAAAATTTCTATTAAAGACAATTTTTGAGTACTTAGAGTTATGAAAAAAAATTTAAATATTTAAGTCAAAATAAGTGATAATTTTTATTTTATTTTTTACATTGTTAGTTGACTACCAATTAAGACATTGATAGTATTATGAACTATCATCACACTCATTTTTATTTTAGCAGTTATATCAGCTCAGATGCAATATTAGTAACTTTTTATTCACCTCCATTTGAAATATGCATAAACTAATCTATATGAAGAATTTCATAATCACCTTAAAATTATACTTTTAAAAAAATTATAACTTTTAAAGTGATCAGCATTAACTGTGAAAGAAAATCATTAACACTTACCAATTGCTAATTGCGCTGCTCTCCGTTTCTTAATTTCAGTCCTACATAAACGTTTATCAGTTACTTTGTTTTGTGGAGTTGTAGGTAATGAAGATGATGTAGACTGAGCAGCTAAACTCATTGAGGTCATTGCTGCCGAATTGGTGGTGGTGCTAGGACGAGACTTTTGTACAGGTTTTTTATCATACCGACTTCGGAATTCTGGAAGAGAAAATATTTTGGAAAATTTAGCAAGAGAAAATTTTGAGAACCAATTTAATAAAAATTTCAACCAATAAAAAACTGCTGACAATTAGATTAACTAAAAAAGACTATTTGCCATCATGAAGTTTACTGAAAATAAATAAATCACAGTAAAGAATCTCATACACCGAGTGTAACAGCAAAAATGTCCAAATCATGTAACAGCATAATTGGCCATTCCACAAAATGGATAATACCTGAATAACCGCTAAATTAATTGAGTTTCTTTTTTCCAGGTTTTTAGTTAAGACGTTTAGCCATCTTGACATCATTTATCATAAGAATCCATAAAAAAAAAAAACAGATTTATTCAGCTAGAAAGAGAACAGGTTAAAATAATTTTGTGTCGGGCCCACTGTCTTCCCAACTGAACAATGAAAGGAAAAAGATCATTCAAGCCTTCAGAAAGGATACCAACATCAAAGTACATTAAAGAATTATCCAGAGAATAGTGGAAAAGTTTAAAAGGGAACAGTAGAGAGGAAAACTGGATCAGGAGGTCACAACAGAAAGAGGGATCATCATTTCAACTTAGAGCTAAAAAAATTAGAAAAGATCCAACTCAATCCATAAGATGTTTGGCACATGAGAGAGGAGTTTCAGCTACGACAGTCCAAACAGCAATGTAAAATATCTTGAAAATGAAATTGTATGTGAAACCTGTGAGGCACCTTGTTACTCCAAGGCAGAAAGTGAGTTAAAGAGGGGTGAAGATCATCTTGAATAAGTTGGAAAATGATCTTGATATAATAAATATCTATATATTTAAACTTTATCTGAATCCTTCAGGAACTTCCAATCCTTAGCTATGATTAATTAATGATGAACATGTCATTTCCATTGATGATCAATTTCATCACAATTTTTCTGTTAAGCTTGGAGAGTAATTATAAATTCTTATTGTTCAACAGAGTCTAATAGTGTTATAAAAACCTAAGAAAATTCCAGTAAGATATCTTTCATCATTCCTAAGATACAACAGTTCAAAGCTTAATCTAACAATTGGACAATTTTGCTATTACACCCGAAATTATTATTGAATTCAAGCAAAGAGAAACAGAGTAATTAAATTTCCCGATAGAAGTACTGAATACTCAATCATATGTAAAATCTTAAAAGACATTAACTTCAAGCAATAAGGAAAGAAAGGAATATTTCATATCAATGTATATCCTCAGTGGTCATAAATCTTACATTTAGGTGCTGCCAAAATCTATTAAAATATATTGCAATCCCCACCCCAAAAAAACCCCACTTCAACTTAGCAAAGTAAAATTTTGCATTTCAGATTGAAAATCTATCACAATCGGCTAATGTTTATTTTTAAACAGTTCTTTGAATGCAAAATATCTCCCATTTCTTATTTACAATTCCAAAATTTTAAAATGGCTGGATATTTCAACCACAAAACATTTTTGAGCAGTGGTAAAACTAAAAACAGTTTGCAAGCAACAGAACTATTGTAACATCATTGGAAATTTTATATCAGAAATTATTATCTAAAATAATGGCAAATATAAAGTTCATTTATTGAATTTATTTTTGTAATTACTTACTTGCAGAGGAGAGTAGCACAGCAGCTGCATTCTTCAACTTTTTGCTTGTGCGACGTGCCTCATTTTGTTGTAAAATCTTTTGTCGTCTACAAAAGATGAGAGATAGAAAAACAAAAAAACAAAAAAAAAAAAAAAAAAAAAATTTAACTTATGGAAATTAAAACAAATGTGAAAACATGGCAAAGTATCAATTTATATAAAAACATAATAAAGATGGGACACTAGTGTTTTTTAAAATGTTAGTATTCAAAAACCTTTTTCTTCACACTACTTCTAGAAAAGATAATTAAAATATGCTTAATAAATATTAAACTTGAAATAAATTTTCATATACATTATCACTTTTATGGCTTCAATGAAATGGTAAAATAGTGATGTATTAACTAAAACCAAACACCCGATTGCTGGTTTCAAGAAAGCGAGGAGAAAACAAGAGAGATAATAAAACTGAAACAATTAAGCTCTAAGTTACAAATTAGAGCTAAAGTGTTTTTTTAAAATACATTATTTCATGCTTAATTTTAAGTAGTAAAATTATGGGAATAAGTTACTCCCACTTAACAAAGATGACCCAACATTAGTTACTGCAAAAGATGAAATCGTTTGCTCAGCTGGATACCAAATATTCTAACTTTAAATGAGAAAGTTCATTTACAGGTTATGTATTTTTAAGGCAGATCTAGCTATTTCCTGAAGGACTTTATGACTTTCATTAGTTGGCAATTATTAGTCAGTATTGATATTTGAAATCATATTACTTATGTAATCATTGTCTCAATTTTCAAAAGCAAAGATCACCAGAGAATACAATAGTAAAATTGCAACAGAACATGACTGGGTATCTTGAAAAGATATTTTATTCTCAGCACATAAAAGTTAGGCATCAATGATCACTGTGTTATAAACTGGACATCTTTATCTTTTGATCTGTATCATCTCTTAATACGATTTACATTTCTATTCATGAAGAATTAAAAATAAAATCTTTATGAAGTAGGATCCAAGAATTACAGAATTTCTAAAATCCCAAAATTAAAAATAAACATCACATATTCATTTGCTTTAAAGTACAAACTAAGCAGGCCAATGAAAAGTAAAAGAAGATTACTGCTAGACAAGATTTTTATAACATTAAAAAATAAATTTTGAGACTTAAAAAAAATTGAGCCAAAATTTTAATTTCCATGCTTATAATTATTTTTAAGAATAACAACTTTTTATTATACAAGTTGTATGGTAAAACTAATGACAATTATATACCAATTATACTCAAGATTAAAAATATTTTAAGCTGGTTGCAAGTAACAAATATTTTGTAAATAAAATAAAAAAAATGTATACCTTCGATCATTTGCCGTTGTCTTGGCAGGTTTTGGTGGCGGTTTATTCTGCCATTCTCCACTTTTTAGCAAAGCTTCAAAATGAACTGGTAATGGAATTTCTGAAAATATAAATACAAAATTATTCTCTTTCACAACAATTTTCATGAATACTATCTTGTAGCAAAGTAACATTAAATCAGTCACATTTCCTGACAAACTGCTTATTCATTGTTTTCTTTTCAACTAATTCACTAACTGAAATTTAAATAGTGAACATATAAAATTGGTTGGTGAGATATTAAAATATTCTATTTATCATAATAATAAAAAAAAAAATAATGCACTTTACAAAGCTCATTTAACCTTTAGCACTCTGCATTAATATTACTTCCATGGTTATTCTTTTTCAAAGCCTCTCAGTTGAAGTAACCTATTGTTGATTTCACTCAGATGTATTTTTTTTGCCATAGCAGGATATGACAACACAACTATGAAATTTAAACAAATTAAAATTCAGGTATCAGCTTCAGGATAAACTTTTTGCACAGCAAATGTATTACAGAGTGATAAAGGTTAATGATGACAATACTGTTTCTAATAGAAATCTTTTTAACATATTGCAATGGAGGGTAGCATACATATTCTTTACAATGATAGTAAAACATGATAAAAGTCATCAACTGTATATTAAGAAAAATCTAGCAGATTTATAAATTAATTAATGAGATAAAGAAAAAAATATTCCCAGATATGTTTTGTGTATAGACAAATTCTATCAGATATAAGATGTTTAATATAAAGATTACTTACTATCAGGGATTTATTTAAGGCTTTCTTCTTTACACTTGTAAGTAAACATCTAAAAGTCCTCAAGCAATTAACTGAAAACATGAATTTCCATCATTGCATTTCTTTGGCTCAACTATTGGTGACAGACATTTCTATTAGTTAATGAATTAAATTGTTACATTTGATTACCTGAAGATCAACTTTAGAGCCATACTTTCTGCATAAATAGGAGTAATAAAAAATAGACAACCATCCATTGCCAAGCATGAATGTTAATTGCTGGTATAATAAATCCATGTAACTAAAAGTTATTGCCATTCTCCAAGCTGAAACATCAAATTTGAAACTTTTTTTTCTAGACTATCATTTCTGTCTCAAATACACCTAAAACTGATAGTCACTGAATTTATATTAGAGATATTACTTATTCATAGAAACAATTCTTTTTTTCATCATTTTATGATGTTAGTTCTATAAAGAAAAAGACAAAATTGTATAGGCTAAACTTTTGTATTATGAAAAGGATGAATGTTCAAAATGGAAGATTCATACTTAAATCATGACATCAGTTTGGTAGATTCAGGGTGTTTTGGTAGTGCAACAAACACCTACATATCAAATATTTTTCATTTCTACTATGAAAAACATTTAATTTTTTTTTTTTTAATCTGATTATAATTTTTATGTAATAGATTATTAAATTAATAATTACATAAAAATCAATTAACAGACAAGGTAGCTGTAACTTGTAATATCAAGCATAGGAACAAATACATCAAAATTATCACCCACTAATAATTACTTGGTAACACAAACACTAAAAGCATAAATAGGAAAATATGCAGATAGCAAAATTTCCATAAAACGTTTAGTGCATAAACAAAAGCATAGTGAATAGATTAGATTCATATAAAAGTTGCCAGTGCTATCTTTCACACAATGCTAGAGAAATCTTAAAACTGAAGTCTACTTTGCTTATCTGTAGTACTTCATTTATTAAAATAAATTTTATTTTAAAAAAATCCAGGAAAAAAAAAAAAAAAATGAACATCACTTCATAGTTAAACATTTTTCTCTTAAGAGAAGAAACTAATTTTTAAACAATAAATGAAAAATGGATTAATTAGAAGAATCCAAAATGAAGAAAATTGTGACTAGACTTCAATATCTACTTAAATGTAATCTACTGACATGGGAAATGAAAACAGGGATGTTTTGTTTTTAGGATTCAAATGGAATTATTCATTAAAAAATCATTGGTATCTGAAAAAATGTTACACCAAGTGAGCAATTGGTTCATTTGAATGTTGAATTGTAAGAGAAAACTTTTCTGACAAAGGAAGTCAATCATGGAGCAAAGAAAAGTTTAAATTTTTGTGTGTGTGCGCACATGCCATTATTTCCAGAACTTTAGATGGCCATCTACTTTATATCACACAATACTTCTGACATCAGCACTTCCAATAAGATTTCAAAATTTCACATTTTTGATGGAATTCATGTAATAAGAAGCTAAGGAAAACATTTTATGACAGAATAATGATATTATGAATTCATATAAAGTAATTTTACAGCAACCTAATATATCTATAGAAAAAAAATTTAGTATAAGCTTTCACTAACTTCAAATGAGTAAAGAGTGTCTAAGCAAGTACAAATGACATTTTGCACCTATCCAGAAAAGAATTTGTAAGGAGTCACTAAAAAAATACTATTATTAAAAATTCATCGTTAACCAATCAAAACAATCTGTAAGCATTATTCCCAGGACTAGAATTGGAAATCATTTAGTAACATTATTAATTAAAAGTGGAATTTAGTGATTATGCAAACTTTTGCAGTGTTGTAGGTTAAATTTTAGCATGCAATCAGCATGTACATTGAAAATCAAAGTAAGAAGCATTATTTATCACCAAAAATTAATGCTATCATTATTGAGACAGAGCTATTATATTCATGAGGATTGCCTAATCAGTACATTTTCAAAGAGATTTGTAAACTTAAAAAGAAAAGTTATTCAACATAATCAGTGCAGGTGGTTCTTATTCATGTTGCCCCATCATGCTCACAATGACAGCCTTTAAGTTCAATAAGTATTTATTCTTGGGGATTTAAACTAGGAGAGTTTAAAGAGCTTGGTGGGTAACATAGATGAAGATTTTCAGCCTGAACACATACAGCCTACTCCAGCCACCTCTCCCATAAAGAAAGTGACATGAATCCTCATCAGTTTAGTGGTCTGTTGTTGATGATGCCCTGGACTTTCTGAATGAATTCAGCTGTTCTTTTGACATCTATTGCCTAGAGAAAAAAATATTCTCTAGGCTGTTGCCTAGAGAATAAATGAAATGATCCCAAAAGAGACCTCTAGTTCATTCCTGACTTTGAACCTGGCCAATTTCAAAAAGCTGGCTATCTCAGTCACTTTGGCTAACAGCTAGTGCCCCAAGTGAATAACATGCCTTTTCAGTTACTGTGTATGATTGGAAGCTGCATGTTAATGCTCTCCATATGTCTGAAAGAGAAACAAGAACATCAAAATTTGGTGCATGCCACATAGCTTTACATTAGATCATTCTACATTTATGTCCTAACTAAATGCAAATTCTCAAATACCAGAATTATCATTTATGTCCAATTTGATTTTTCTATTAGGTATCCCAAATCACCCTAGTTTATACTGCAAAAACTGGTCAAAATATTGAAATTTAAGTTTCTCCTTAAAAAAGTTAATAAAAAAAAAAAAAAAAAAAATTACTCAATTGAAGTATGACTCACACTAATGTAAATACATAATAAAAATATTTAGCAAAATAGTAATTGAAAAAGTAAAAATTACTTTAAACTTTTAAAGCTGAAGGGAAAATATGTTCAAACATAAATAGTAATGAGCAAATTTTTCTGTAAAGGGACAAAACTATTAGATCACATGACCTTTACATAACAACAACAATTAGAGCCTACCATAGCCGGAAAGAAGGAACATATTAAGTCAAAAAAAAAAAATAAAATAAAAAAAATAAAAAAATAAAAAAATTATTTTAAAAATAGAATAGTGCAAGTATTTTCTCTTCAGTTTTGTATTTGTAAATTTTGTTTCCACTTAATCACTATATAACATCCAGGAAATAGTCCAATACAGAATTTTACACAATTTTTAAACTACTATAAATGATTATAATTAAAATTAAAAAAAAAAAAAAATCTTGTAAAAATTCATTATTCACTGGAAAAGTTTTATTTCTTCAAACAATAGTGTCCTTAATAAAACTTATTTACAAAAGCAATTAAAAGCTTTTCTAATTAAATAATTAGATAGTTTTAATTGCATTTATTTTTCAATTCAGAACAGATTTTCAGTTAGAATATTGCAAATTGGCAAGGGGGGGGAGGAATAGGTGTTTACATTCTTCAAGGAGCCTTTACTTTTAACGAATAAAAAAACTTAAGGGAACAGAAAGGTATTTTGTGAAATTCAATGAAATTAAGTGGGGGTAACATGTGGAAAAAAAAAAAAAAAAAAAAAAAAAAAATCCTCCATTTGTCAATAAGTCCTGAAAATTTAATCAAAATCTGACAATTATTTGATTTTTTTAACAAGAATTTCCAAATCAATGTGCTTTCAAGGGGGGAGGGAGAGAGAGAGAGAGAGAGAGAGAGAAACAAAAAAAAAAAAAAAAAAACAAACAAACAAAAAAACACAAAAAGTGAATGTTATTATGCCACAGTAATGACAAACAAAACAAGATTTTAACCAAAATTTCAAACGTGTTAGGAAGAATTAAAAAAAAACAAAAAAACTTTGGTCTTCCATCTTTACTAACAAACATTTTGACGATAAATTTTTTTTTTTTAAGTTTGTGCCCTTTTTCATTATGCTATGTTGTTTTCCTGCAAAAAAAGTAGCAGTACCTACTAAATGTATTAGTTGTTCATTGTAAGGTAGATGACTATAACTTTGATTTAGAAAAAAAAAAAGTGCTACTTAAAAGAGTACAACTTTCAAAAACGAAAATTTAATGTTTTAGTGAATCACTAAAGCAACAGTAAATCAGAGTACTGGTTCTTACAACATTTTATCTTTCTTGGCAGATCGATTTTTTTTTTCCAGTCATTAATTTTCATGACTGTTGAAAACATTAGTGGATAAAATACCAAAGAAATTCAATTCTTAAAAACATTGAAAATTACACCTTGTAGAGCAATATCATCTTTAATAATCAGTTGGTCTCATATCTGTGCCTATGCAACACAAAGTGCACGCAAATAAAATAAAAAAAAAAATAAAAAAATAAAAAATGAGGCTATACTGTATTAACTTTTGTGCAAAATTGTTAGGTTTCCCACATCAAAATTTTTATTGCTGATCTAGTGACATCACCAGCTGAACCTTATTTTAAATCCAACATGTTTTATCACTGAATAAAACAGGTTAAATCTTTTGCTTATGTTTTCTTTAATGATGCATTTTAAAGTGTACTTTTTTTCCAAATTGCCAAGCTCAAATTACCTTCACCTTGGTTGTTTTTATGTATATGAGAGAGAATTAATATCATAAAATAAGAAAAATAAACTGGATCTATTTTTTAGTTCTCTTTAATTTTGTACATTCACACTTGTTTGTCAAAAATGAATTTTTTTTTAAATGGTATATCCAGTTTTTAATTTATATTTGTGGCCTTTTATTTTATAGAAAATGTAAAAATTTCATTTTAAGCTATGAAATAGGACCTAATTCCTAGAATTGCTACATATATATATATATATATATATATATATATATATATATAATAAAAACAAACATTTTGAAAATTACCCATTGTAGTCAGGTTGTGTTCAAACAATTTAAAGTATTTTAGATATCTGTACAATTAAAAGGAATTTTTTTTTTTTTTTTTTTTAAATTATTAATTTAAAAGGATTAAAATCTTAATCTTATTAAAAAATAAGCTAATATTCATTTATCAATCTTGGTTTAAAACACAAATATCAAAATTTGTTTCTTACCCTAATTTGGAAATACAAACTTTCCTCTACAAATAAAAAGTGTTTTATAATACCTTTTTGTAAACTTACAATTTCGTCCTGCAAGATTCATAGGTTATAAAACGCAGGATTTTTATTCCACACTGTTCAACTACAGCATTATCATCATTACAATAATTACATATAATTTACTATGTTACAAATTCAATCATCAGTATAATGAATAACAATCTCAAAATAAAATTTGCCATTTCAGGTAGAATTATCAAGCTGAAAAAAAAGAAAAAAAAAAAAAAAAAAAAAGAAAAAGAAAAGAATATTTTCTTTCACTCTAAAATTTGCAATTTATCATTAGCGATTTACAAGGTCAAGTAAATAAGAAAAATTTAATAGTCACAAGATTCAATATATGGGCCACATTATAAACAAAAGATAGCTAATTCATTAAATTAACAAGGATAACATGGCACTGAACATGTTACAGCCTATAAGGAAACTAATCCTGCTCACCAAATTTGGACAAAGAAAAAGCATAGATCAACTCTTCTCAGCAAATTAAATTTTACTGACAATGACCCAAATTTGAGCACAAACTTTAAGAGAATGAACTAATTTTATCAGAACTTTCATATCAGACGCTAGCAAAAATTTTTTTCTTTTTACCCAAGAAAATAGAAAAGGATAGTTTTTCTCCAGGTCATCATAATGTTAATTGAGATGATCATGAAATTATATATAGAAGTTCAGTAATGTTTGCTTAATTTTCCTTTATGGAAATCAGAAGGAAATACATTAATAATTTTATAAAAAAGCTTGTTTTATAAACTGCTCATGTTATGATTTTGCTTGTAAAAATCTTAGAGATTTAAATTAACAAAAATAAAGGTATCCTTATTGAGAATTGTCATGATTCATAAAATGTGGTGTGCCAGTTAGATCATGGGAAGTGATGTGTATAACAGTCAAAGATAAGTAATTATAAAAGATTACCTTGGGAAAATGACAAAACTGGATGAAAAGCTGGATCAAGAAGTGACACTCTCTCATGCAAAGGCATAACATCTGGGTCCAAAGCCTGGGTGTTGTTATAGCGTCCTCCACACATAGCACATGGAACTACAGGAGCATAACAATGACATTTTACAGTTGAAAGACGAGTGGCTTTTTGAGACAACAGGTGCAACCCAGTAGTTCGTAAAATTTTTCTTTTTCTGTAACTTTTTACTGGACGACACCTTGCAGCTTGACAAGTAATGTCTACTGCAGATAAACAACATTGATCAGAATTTTGAAGATGCTCAGAATCGATTTTTTTCAAATTAGTTGATGTAGCAGTGGTAGCTGCATCTGAAATATTTCCACTATGTGTATCTATTAATCCATTGAGTGATTTTGTTGATGTGGTTTCACTACTGGACTTTTCAACAGATGCTGACACTCCCAATCCTGGTGGAATAATATTAGCTAAAGGAGTAGTAGTCAATTTAGAGCTTTGCAAAAAAGCATTATTGATATTAGAAAAATCATTTTTATTTTCACTTTCAGAGGATATAGGTTTTCCTGTTCGAGATTTACAAAGACGTGCCATTCGCTCAGAATCTGCTGACAAAGAATCAAAAGTAACAGCTCCTTTATTGCTACGAATTTGTTTATGGACTTCACTTTGCTGCCGTATTCGATATTCTAAATCAGAGACTTGAGCTTGTAACCATGTCCAACGAAAAGCAATTGCTGATCGATCAAAGGCCCATTTCCATTCAGCTCGTCGATGCCTAAATTTAAAAAGTAAACAAAAAGATACATAAATATTTAACAAATTCACAAAGAAAAAAAAAAAAAAAAAACTTACAGAATCATGAACAAGTTCTTTAGCATTTTTACATAAAATTACATGTTAACTGACACTGAAATAATGAAATTAATAATCCATGAAAATTATTTTCATATATTGAGTCTTAGTAAGCCATACATTTCATCTTAACTTACATAATTTTAAAAAAATATCATGTCATGAAGCAATAAATGAAAAGATGGTTTCCAACAATCTCAGTATGATAGAGTCATAAAATATACAACATATATTAATTCAAACTTAACATGTACTTCCTAAATTTAATTACTAAACACTTCACCAAAAAAAAGATCCTCTAAATAAGATATTCAACAGGAAGTCAGTCAAAATTAGCTACTCCTGCACTGATATGTACCAAATTATTACATTTTAAGTAAATTCCATGGTTAAAAAAAAAAAAAAAAAAAAACTAAACTAAATCTAACATGGAAACCCTCTGTTATTGTAGAATTAAGGAAAACTGCTCTGTAGAGGGCAAATGTGGATCCACTAGGGTAGTATACCATGCAACTATTAGTTCTAAAGAAAATACAACAAACCCTAATATTTACATTGGCATTTCTGTAGAATTTAAAAAGAGACTCAATACACATAGGTATTCATTCACCAATCCAAAATTAAAACACCAAACAGCCCTTTCAAAAAAATTTGTATAGTGGCATATTATGTATGTATATGTAAAAGTATATATATGTATATGTGAAGATATGTACACATATAAGTGTGTTGGACAACATGATTTATTCCATTGGATTACCCACAATCTATAAATCTATCATTCAACTAATTTACATTAATCTTAACAGGTTTAAGTTTAAATCACCCATCACTTAATAATATTGGACCCTTGTAGCATAAAAACTATTTACTGTGAATCCCAGGAAAACATACTTGACCTTGTATAGGAAAGGCCACATAGTAGGAACCGATATTTAGCTACAAACAACAAAAAAGCTTCTAGCCATAAATAAACTCCAATCCCAGACCGCTAACCTGGAATAAGATACCTTACACCCTCCAGCCTCTAACACAAGCCCCTTCTCATTAACAAGGCACCTACCAGAGAAGGAGGACTGACATTGAAAATAAATTTAAAACAGTGCTTCAAGACAGACACTTAGAGGCTGATGACAGTTGCATACAGACTATCCCCATATTACAATTTTTGATTTTTTCTCGTGGATAATTATATATAAATAAATAATGTGTGTATCAAACAAAACAAAAAGAATCTTGCAACACAAGGAAGTAGACAACTTCCAAAAAGATTTGACTTAGTAAAAAAAAAAAAAAAAAAAAAAAATTTCATGAGCAATAAGCCTCCCCCAAAAGCCTAAAAGAGATACAACTAAAATAAACAATTCATCTAACTTATTTATCACAATGGACAAAATTAGAAATTGATATAGACCAAAAACCATGACAAACTACTCAAGGATAACTAAAACATACAAAAAAAGTACCAAAAACAGAATATTAAGCTAAAACAAATCGGACAAACATTAGACCTAGACGACCAAACAAATTGCATCACTAAATTACAAGTATTCTAAGTAAAGACCATAATGAAAACTTCAGAGCAAACCCAATTCCTCACAGACCTAACCAAAACTGAACTAGGTAAAATACTACTAGAAAAAATTAATTCCAAACTTGAATAATTGCCAATTTATACTAGTTATAAAAGAGTTGTACCCTTCTATAAAAAAAAAAAAAAAACATGCTGGATAAGACCAAGCTCAAGAACAAATAAAAATGAACACAAAAAAAAAAAAAGAAATTATTAAACACTCCTGAAAATCACTTTTATTTGACAATGAAGACATGTGGCTAAAGAAAAGGACCTTTAACATTACAATGGGAAGTTCTGATGGTGCAAGACCTGTGAGCTCAGTTTCTCTAACAAATGTTATACCTAAGTAAAATAATCAATAAAATGATATAGACCATTACAGGGATGACAGCCTCATAACCTTTTGAATCTGTAATAGACAAAATCAGAAAAACAATCATAAAAATTTACAATATGGGATTCAACAGATATAAAAACCTAACCTAAAAGAAGTAGATTCCCTACATGCCACAATTAACCAAATTGTACATATCAACCATACAGAAAACCTAATAAACTGGCACCATTAATAATCAAGGCTCACAATCAATTGACTGCAGGTTATCTAACAATTCTTCCAGTGGAATCATCTTCAAAGCCAAGAAAGATTATGTAACAGCTCTAAAAGATAGATTTTCAGCAACACTCACATAGCGCATGCACACACACACAAAAAAAAAAATCAACAGGAAAAGAAATAGCATATGGTTCAACCCACCATACAACAAAAACATAGGAAAAATATTCATTAAACTCATACACAAACACTCCCCACCCATAAACCACTCAGTATAAAAAAGAAAAAGTATCAGCTAGTTGCACAGAGAACATGACACAAAAAAAAAGAAAAAAAGTACAACAGGAAAACAATCAACAAACCACTCACACAAATCAAACCCACATGTGCAGAGTAAAGAACAAATGTCCCTTCAAAAGCAGTTGCTTGCAGAATGTAATATACCAATCCCATGTAAAAAGATAAGAAAAAAAATATATACATAGGAGTAACTGAAGGACTCTGGAAACAAACAAACTATGCACACAAAATATTGTTTATAAATAGTAAATACACAAACAGCACAATGCTTTCTAAACATATCTGGGAAATTAAAAACAAAATCCATATCACACCAAAAATATACAACAAAAGCATCAGCCTACAACAATAAATAAAAAAATGCAAACTGTTTGGAGGAGAAAATAGCTATAATTACCTTTCCAGACCAACACAAATTAGTAAATAAATGATCAGAAATGCAGATACAAAAACAAATTTTTACATTACTTAAAAATCGAAAAATGAACAAAAATAAATTAATCCAAACCAATAACTAAGTAAATAATTCCAGATACATAAATAAAAAAAAAAGAAATCAATACATTCAGTTAAAAATAAAATCCTAGATAATGGCTAAAATAGCCAAAAGTGCTTAGACATAAAAAAAAAACAGTTGAACAATTTCTGTATGTTCAGAAAAGAATAAAATTATAAAAAAAAAAAAAAAAAAAAAAAAAAACTTAACTGCAGTACCGTGTCATTCATTTTTAACATCACACAAACAAGAGGGTGCTGAAAAGTTTTTAGGCCAACAGACTTCCCAAAATCTGACCAAATTACTAAATGCCAGAATTGCTCATGAAATGGCTTCTTAGTCAAGCCAAGGATTTTTCAGCACCCCTCGCACATTAAAGACAAATTTGCGAGTAAACAAATAACAATGCTTTTAAAGTTTCTTTAATCCCAACATTATTAACTATAAATTACATTTTATTAACTGCATAAAAAAAGGCTAGAAGTGACCAAATGCACAGGAGCAACTAATTGGGTAGCATTGTATACATAGTCTTACATGATCAAGTAGATGATGGAAGTTGTAGATTTCCAAAACCTTTTTCTCTCATAACCAGTAACAAGGATGTTAAAATGTCTCAAAGTTTTGAGTGTTTTCTCTTCCTCTTAAATCTTTAGAAATGTTTTACCAAAAAATATTTTCAAAAGTAATTTACTTAAAAGTAAAAAAAAAATAAAAAAATCCTCAAATGAAAATTTATGTGATCAATTAATGGAAATGTTTAGTTGTTACCGGAATAAAATTACATAAACAGGATATTTGGTTCAGCAGCAGCACTTGATATGATGTGTAGATATAAACGTATAAAATTAATTTTATTGTAAGTCTTGGTGTTATTCAAAAGAATGGTTAAAGAATAATTCTGATAGAAATATATATTTCTATCCAAAACTGGAGAAAAGTTTTTTTATATTTTGAATGAAAGTTTTTGTTTTTTTTTTGTTATGTGATGTAGTTTACCTACATCACATAAAAAATTACTTTTATAAGCAAACCTGAAAAAAAAAAAAAAAAAAAAAACAAAACACGAAACAAAACAAACTACAAAGACATTTCCATATATAATTTGCTACCGAGATATAATTAAAATACAGTTTTTGTTTCGTTTTGTAGTTTTCATACACAATGAAAGAATGAGAAACTTTATAAACATGAAATGAAATCATTTAAATCAAAAGAACAAACTTAAACCTCCAAAAGAGACTCATTCTATCATGCTTGTATCAATGTTAGCTTTCTTA